TATGGAGATGACAGGGAGTATGGAGTATGGAGATGACAGGAGTATTCTGGAGTCTTGTCTGAGCAACCCTGGATCTGGGCTCTGGAACTTCATCTCGACCTTAACCCCAAGCTCAGCGGCAGTTGGAGGATAAGAAGCCACAGTCGTATGGGCCTCACATTCCTTCCCTGCTTTCTGGCCCATTGCACTGCCTGAAATGCCAGCGATACTCATTGTGTTTGCCACTCCCTGCTCACGAGAATGGGAGCTCCGTGAGGGCAAGGAGCTTCGTCAGACTGGCAGCCCCAGGGCTAGAGCAGAGCTTGGCATGTCATTATGTGCCCTGCAAAAATGCTGTTGAAGAACGAATTAGTGAATGATGAGCAAACAGTGAAAATAGTATTGAGGAATGACTGAAATGAGCGAGTGATGAACAGACAGTGACAGTCTACTGAGGATGAGTGAATGATGCGTGTGCCTGAATGAACAGTAAAGCCCCACAGTGTACCGCCTTCTTCTTGCCCCTTTTGTTTTATGTTCCCCCATCCTAGACCGAAAGGGGCCTTGTGCTGCCGGGCTCCATGTCCCTGGCTATGGTGGCCCCCGTGGCCCAGAATGCCTTCTTTCCCAAGGCCTGGAGACTCCCGCTCTTTGCCTGAAGCTAACCTGTGCTCTTGGCTGCCTCTGGCTGCGCTTCCTGTTCTGCCGTGGGAGGAGCCAGCAGGGCAACACAGCCTGTAGAGCTCCCATCCTGCGTCCAGGGTACTCTTGGAAAGGAAGCCTTGGGGACGGGTGGGAAGAGTACTGGACAAGAAGTCAGGAGGCTGGACTCCAGGGGCCGCCGCTCTGCCAGCTGCACAACAGGTGTCCCTGAGCTTTGTCTTCCTCTTCCACCAAATGGGGCAAGGGGGACTTGTTTGACAGCGTATGGTAGGATGCCTAACTGCTCTGCAGTGAGACCTGTGGAAGCGGTCTTTCGACAACTCTGAGCCTCTTCCTTCCATCTTCAGAGGAGCATGATTGCAAAGGAGACATGGCTCACTTGGACTGTGCCCAGCATGTTCACCTTCATGTCAGCCTGAACCCAGGGCTCGGGTGTACACGAGGGACCAGGCATGGGGGAGGAAGAGGCCAATGCGGTGCCCAGAGCTGGTCATCACTTGGGTTGGTCCTGCTGGCACCCACCCCTTCAGAGCAGAGCAGAATGGACTTCCGATCTTTGCTCTTGAGGGGCAGAATTGGGAACATTTACCCACCACTTCCTGTCCCATCTTCCACTGCTCACAGGTCGCCCTGGGGGTGTCATGCCTGGAACTTCTGGCTGCACATGCATGAATGCGGAGGTGTTCCTGCGGGCAAACTGCTCAATGCTGTGGGCAGAAAGCAAGGAATAATTGGTGCAGTTGGTGAGGTGTCAGCAGGGTTCACCTGCCGGGAGCTGGCTGCTGCATCCTCCAGAGGCTGGTGTGAAAGTGGGCAGTGACTACGAGATGGGCAGGAGACAACCGTCTCCACAGTTGCCCGCCACTGCTGTTAACGTTTGTGAGGATCCAGTGAGGTGATGCTTATGAAAATGCTTTGCAGATGGTAGAGGGTCATGTGCATGGCTTCCACTGCGAAGTCACCCTCTGACGGTCTCTTCTCCAGGATTCCCTTCATTACAATGTGTCTCTGAGCTGGCCCGCTCCAGAGGCTTACGTCAGAGGCCAGCACCCCTGAATGGCTCACAGGATGCCAGCTTGCTCCAGTTTGCCTGGAACTGTCCCTTTTTCAGCACTGAAAGTCCTGTCCCCGATCCCAGGGTTGGTCCCTGAGTGCACGTGGGTGCGACAGCCCCAAGGTGTGGCCTCCACGGAGGTCATAGAGGGAGAGGCGACTGGTGGACCCACGAGAGCCCAACACTGCCCACACACCCTCCCACCACCACCCTTGCCCTAACCAGTTCCTGGGGCTGAAGCTCACACATAGCCGTTTCAGACCCCACCTCGTTTTCACCTAGAAACAAAGAGTCCAGTTTCTTTTCTTTCTTTTATTGGGTCATTTTTCAGAATTGTAGAAAATTCAGGAAACACAAAATAATGTAAATTAGAAAAAATTACTGCACTCATTACCCTGTCACTCAGAAATAAAACACTGGGCACGTTTGGGGATATATCTTTCTAGATGTTCTCCGTGCATGGCAAAATAACTTTAATAAATTGGCTTGTGATGTCTGTGGATGTATAGATATGTATCTATATGCACATGTTCTTGTTCCTTCTCTACACGGAATAGGCACAGAATCTTAGAGCAGGTGTGGCTCCCTCTGACCCAATTCCTGGGTTTCATAGATGAAGAAATAACTTGCCTGAGGCTGTGTCTGTGTGACTACCTGACCCTCAGGAAGGTGAGGGTCACAATGTCTCTGGCAGCACAGCTCAGTGACCCCCCAGTGCCTCAGTGTTCCTGCACCGCAATCGGTTGAGACCTCGCCATTAACTACCCCAAACGTAGACAGCACAGCCAGCAGCCCGCGTGGGGAGACAGACACGTGCAAAGTGGATTGGAAATCGCTTTCTCTGCTACTTCTTGCATCAGCCATTAATTTTCTCCCCAATAAATGCCTTAGGCCAACACTAACAAAATTAAATTTGACAGGGATAAATGTGAAGTCCTCAGGGCTAAACACGCTACTTCACAAAAAACAGGTTGTGGGGAGGTGAGGCAACTCTTGTGAAGAAAGTCCTAGGAGACTGAGTCAACAGCATTACCAGGTCCCACTGACAGGAGCACAGGGGCCAGAGAAGAGAAGGGGCAGTGCTGGAGTGCTTTGGGCAGGTCAGAACCAGCCTGAACCTTGGGAGTGGTGGTGTCGGAGGACAGTGAGAAGAGTTTGGAACCATCAGTAAAAACATGACTGAAAGTGCTTGGCCTGGAGAGGATGGTTACGAGAAATTTCCCAAAGTCTTGGCTCTAGGAGCAGAGAACAATCTCCTTCACTCTCCGTGAGACCCTCTCTTCTGTAGTGTTGCTAGTAAATGGCTGGAAACCACATGTCCTTCCGTGGGTGAACGATTAAACGCACAGTGGTGCCTCCATGCCATGGAACACTGCTCAGCGTACATGGAACCACCTACTGATGCGCACGACAGCTGGATGTGTCTCGAGAGGGATATGCTGAGTGAAAACAGCCAGTCCCCAAAGGTTTCATGTTGTACGTTTCCATTGGCAGAAGATTCTCGAAATGATGGAACGGTTGAAATGGACAGCGTGTCCTGGCTGCCTTGGCTAGGAGGAGATGAGGCCCGGGAGGTGGGTATGGTGTGCAGGGGCAGCCAGAGGGGTCCTCGTGGGGACAGCTGCTCTCGCGACTGGGCAATGTCTGCATCCTGGTTGGGATGCTGTACCACCGTTGTGCAAGATATCGCCATGGCGGAAACTATGGAGGGCATCAGGACGGTTCTAGCATTCTTTCTTACAGCTGAATGGGAGTCTACGCTGATCTCAAGAAAAACCTAATTTTTTAAATAAGGGGGACCCACATACATGTGTTAGGGCATACACTCCAAGGAAGCTGTGGGGAGAAATGCAGTGAACTTAGCAGTCTTCTGCTAGAGAACAAATATGAATGGAGAAATTACTTTTTCTTTTTTCTTTTTTTTGAGTTGGAGTCTCACTCCGTTGCCCAGGCTGGAGTGCAGTGGCACACTCATGGCCATCCCAGTGTTGACCTGCTGGGCTCCGGAGATCCTTCTGCCTCAGCCTTCCAAGTAGCAGGAACTACAGGCACACACTACCATGCCTGGATTATTTATTTATTTATTTATTGTAGAGACAAGGTCTCACCAAGTTGCCCGGGCTGGTCTCGAACACTCAGGCTCAGGCAATCCACTTGCCTCGGCCTCCCAAAGTGCTGAGGGATTACAGGCTGAGCCACTGAGCCCAGCCAGACATTACTTTTTCAATGCCTTATTGTTTGACTTGCCCCAACAAGCCAGTGTGGCTTGGAAATTTTGTTAGATGTGTGAAGTTGGCAAAAGAAGCAGTGTGTAGAGGAGTGGGGATGTGGAGTGCCCGTGTCTGGGAGGTGCTGACCTGGACCTCCGGGAACTTGGGGTCAGCTGTGGGAGCCAGGAGTGAGGGAAGGCATGGCAGGCCCGCTCTGGCCTCTGTGTTCCCACCCCATCACTGCCCTCCCCAGACCAGCCTGTCCTGGCACTCGTTCCTCCTGCTTACAACTGGTGGTTTTCCGCAGGGGATTGAGGGTGGGTGATTTCCGGGTCCCCCTGAGCCACCACCATAGTCAAGAATCCTAAGTGCCTCTCAAGTATTACCTCGTGGAATTCTCCTAGGATCCCAGAAGGTAAGGGTGTGGGTTATGTACCAGTGGGGAAACTGAGGGGTTAACTGCTGGATCCTGCACAGAGGGCACTGTCAACGCGTGGCCCATCATGGCATCGCCTCTGAGATCCTTGCTCTGCCTCCCCACCATCCCTGACCAAGCCCACCCACCACTGGTCTTCAAGGCCTGTGGGCTTTCTGAAAGAAGATCGCTCCTGAGCATCCCTGCTCTTCAGAGGCAGCAGGTGAAGGAATCCAACGGAGAGGAGTGCCAGGGGACAGGGAGAGGCAGGCAGCTGGCAACTCAATCCTAGGTGGGGAGCAGCCCACCCCCAGCTCTCCGCGGACATCTGCCGATTTGGAACCCCTGAAAGACGGATGTGTATTGGACCCTACTGCTAAGACTGCTCCCAGCTGACGGAGGCTGGGGGAAAGGGAGTCAGCCCCAGCTGGTAATGACTCCTGCTCAGGCCACGTGCGGTGTCAAGATGAGCTCCTTGCTTCTTGGCTGCAGGAGTCGAGGCTGACCCAGGCATGAGGGAGTTGGCCGGCACTGGCAGGGAGTGACAGCCACACACGTGCCCCCTCATCAGCGGCCAGTCTTGTGGAAGGCACGTCCAGAGTGCAGGGGATCAGGGCATTGGGAGAGCAGGGCAGATGATTCTGAAGGGAGGACCCGTGGACCCGCCTCACTTCTGGCAATGGCTAAACTGCTCAGGGCATCTTACCTCCAGCCCTGTGAGGGCCACTTCTCAGAGTGGGGAGAAGAGACCAAGCGGGGGGTGGTCTCAGCCCTTCTGGGAGCTTCTCTAGCTCCATGCTCCATTCCTTCAGCCTCACTGAGTGCAGGGATGGAATCTACTCCAACTACATGTCTTGGGAGGGACTCCCTTCAACTATGGTGTGAGAGAGGGAAACACACAGGCGGACAGACTGCCGCCCCACTCTTACCTCTGCATGGCCTGCTCCTCTGCCTGGAAGACCCCCGGAGCCCTATTTCCAGTGGGCAAATTCTTTGTCGCTTTTTCTTTTTGAGTTGGAGTCTCACTTCATCGCTCACGCTGGGGTGCAGTGGCATGCTCCCGGCCACCGCAGGCTCGACCTGCTGGGTTCCAGTGATCCTTCCACCTCAGCCTCTCAAGGAGCTGGAACTGCAGGTGCGCGCTACCGCGCCCAGCTAATTTTTGATTTATTGTGGAGACAAGGTCTCACCAAGTTGCCCGGGCTGGTCTCAAACGGACTTAGGCAGTCCACTCGCCTCGGCCTCCCAAAGTGCTGGGATGACAGGCCAAGCAATCGAGCCTGGTCTTTTTGCAAGATGTAGCTGAGGTCCTCTGGGGGAGGGGTCCACGTCCTGCTTGTCCAGGGCAGTTCTGTTTGGTGTCTCTTGCCCTAGCGTAATTATTCATGGTGTGGTCGTTACTCATGTGTGTTCAGGCTTGAACCATACATGACATGGTCGCCTTTGAGGCACGTTTCCCGCAGGGTGGCTGTTCTCCGGGCTTTTCTCTCCCATGCCCCCACCAGACCGGGGACACGGGAGCAGGCCTTTTGTCTCTCTCTCTCTCTCTCTCTCTGTCCTTAGGGCCTGTATAGAGCTCCACATAACACGCAAACAATGTGTCTGGAACAAACAGGCAATGAGCCCATAGCACATTGACAACGTTCTTTTCTTCTCGTTTCTTCCAGGGATCTATAAAGGGCACTGCTTTCGGATCAATCACTTCCCGGAGGACAATGATTATGACCACGACAGCTCGGAGTATCTCCTTCGTGAGTGTCAAGCAGCCTTGGCCTGTGGGTGTGGGGAGGGCACTTTTCTCCAGATGCTCTGGTCACTCCCTCTCTTACTGAGAAATCATGAGTTTGGAGAATGGAGTTTTGTCAACACTGCCGTGACACGCTGGTGCCCCAGCAGAGTCGCTTGCCTGACAGGCCCTTGTCCTGGGGAGACTCAGTCCTGAGCAAAGACTGGGTGCGGCTTTCTCGGCCTCCCATCCCTTGCTGACTTCCGAGTCACTGACTGACTGAACCTGGGGCCGGGGCGAGGCTGGGCCTCTCCGCCCCTCTCCTGCACACTCCCCAGCATTCTAGTCTTGAAAAATCAGATCAAGTTGCACGTTAAGACAGCCTCGCGGGGTGTCAGGCAGCCCGGAGAGAAGGTGAGGAAGGTGGCAGGGGCAGCCTCTGATAGGTGGGTATCACGTCTTTAGCACCAGCTGGTGAAGCCACTGCTTCTGCTCATGGGCTGCCTTGAGCCCGCCTGTGCCCCTCCCCCCCGCCAGGGTCCTGGGGCTCGATGCGCTGGAAGAAGCTGGAAGTCATAGCACATTCTGAACCCAAAGGAAAAATTCAGCCCCACACCCCAAGTCCAGATCCCATCCCTGGGCTGTGAACACCTGTCTGGGAGGAAGGAGGGGGCCGAGCCCTGGGCAGCCTGGACGTGGCAAAAAACAGCACCCTGTTGAGGCCACCCCCACTTGCGGGTTAGCAAAGACCCTGGAAGAGAGCTGCTCACAGCAGCAGCCCGGGGGCTTGGGCCCAGCCTCATTTATGGAGAATCGATACCAGCAACTTCAGAGGGAGCACAATTCTCTCTGAACTTGCTTAGGGATGGCTTTTGCTAAGGGAAAGGATTTTGATTCTGAGTCATCTGGTGAAACAGAGCAGTGTGGAGCTTAGAGCAGTGTCAGGCTGCTCCGGCCGGGCTCAGAACCCAAAATAAATTGGCCAGAGCTTTGCCTCCCATCCCTCTTCTTCATTTCCTTCTCCTGCCTGTCCTTTGGCTCTGCCTACTTGAGACCCTCACTGAACTGAGAAAACATGAGTCCCACAGATGGTTGGGCAGGTTGCACACGACACAACTCAAGAGATGTCAGTTGCATAGGTTATGGGTGAATGACGTCCTTCAAGCCATGCAGTGCGTGGCCTGCACAGCCACCGATAGCTGACCTTGGTGCTCAGCCCACCTGGGATGGCTCAATTGAAAACCAACACTAGATCAGAATCTGTCCAACCCGGGGCAGTCAGATGGTTCTTAAGGCTCTGAGGGCAGGTGTGCCTCAACACCCACCCCTGGGGACCTGGAGGAAAAAGGCCCCAGAGAGGCACACTGTTCCCTCTCCATTTCCCACTCGAAATCTCCTGAGGTCATGGGCACTGGCACCGGCTGTTCCTTACTTGCCTGTCACTGCCTACTCATGGCCTCAGAGCTCTGGGGTCTCTTTCTGGATTGGCCTCAAGATGTAGCAGCATAGGGCAACCCTCTTGGTTCCCCTCCCACTGTGAGAGCTTTTCTGTCCTTTCAATAAATTCTGCTCTCTAAAAAAAAATGTAGCAGCACAGAGTTCAGCCCATGTGGCCTTCTGCGGCCCCAGCAGGAAGCAGCCGTTAAGCCCAAAAGGGGCAAACGAAGGGCCATTTGCAAAGGTGTGAGTGACGTTAGGGTAGCCCACAGGGCTGGGAGCACTCCAGGGCAGGCACCCGCAGGGAGCCCTGGCACTCCTTGGCCTGGACAGGTGAGGAGGCAGGTGTGGGCACCCGGAGGAGGGGCGCAAGGGCAGGCTGCCTGGGGGGGCTGTCGCCACTGTGCAGGGATGCTGCTGCTTCATCTGTGGCTGGCAGGAAGCAAGCCAGGGAACAACCTAACAGGGTATCCTCTTCCCAAAGCCCAGGGGAGGATGGAGAAAAACAGAGAAAGAGTCTGGAGGGGGCGCCGGGGGGCTCGGGACTGGGGGGCTGCGGAATGAGTTCCCAGATGAAATGACGGTAACAGCCCCACAGCAACTGAAGCCCATTTGGGAAGGACCTGTCCCCCTTAGTGTGTGTGCTGTGGGGAGAGCAGGTGGGTTCACCAACAAGCCCAGAGATGCCCGTGGAAGAGACCTGTGGATGGCACTCGGGCTTGTGGTTTCTAGCTGGCAGAATTGGGTGTGGGGTAGAGTGGGCCTCCCAACAGGGAGGTGTTTTTCTACTCGGTGGCTGCAGAAACAGGGGTGTTTGGCCCCCAAACCGAGCTCTGCATGTGTCAAGAATGCAGGGGCTGAGCAGCTTACAAAGAGAAGCTGGGCACAGTCACCATGGGCATCCAGCCTGTGTCTCCCTCTGGCTCCCAGTGCTTGGTCTTCTATTTCTGTCCAGACTCTGGATCCCCCCAACAGGGAGAAGCACCGGAGAGAGATCTCTGGGGGCTGATCTTTGCCAGAGGTAAAGGCTCATGGGAATTCACTGACTCACTAATTTAACAAGTCCTGTGGGCCTACTGTTTGCATGGGACACATAGGATATAGCACCAGGCAACATAGAGCTCTGCCTTCCTGAGACTGACAGCTGGTGGGGGCCAGATGTTCTGGAGAAGGTCACAGAAGCTGCCACGGCAGGGCTGCCTGCACAGAGCCTGTTTTGGTGGGGGCCCAGCCGTGCAGGTGCAGAGTACCAGCCCGGGCAGGTCCAAGGCTGTGCGGCTCACACCCAGGCTTTGACAACTCAAAAGGAGAGTCAGCCCCAGCTGCGCATTCCAAAGCCTTCCAGAAAAGTCGGGCTTTGGCTTTCTGGTGCAGGGTCCCCCGAAGATCCCCGAGCTACTGTGAGGCCCCCTCTGGTTTGCAGATTCACAGCCTAAGTCCTGCCTGCCATCCCTTCTGCCGGCCCCACTGGCCCCAGGGGTTCCTGCCCATCTTGCCTGGGGCCTGATGCCACTTCCCAGGTTCTACATTTCCAGCTGGGTGAACGCATGTCTGTGCTAAGCTGCAGAGTGCTGATGTCAGGGCTGCTGGGCGTCCACAGCGTGACTGAGGGTGAGAAGGAGGTGTTTGGTCTCCAAGCAGACATAGCTCCTCTCCAGGGCTTCATGTGGCCAGCAGGACACAGGCTGGACTTCGGCCTCACCATCCCTCAGCCACCGGCCCTGTGCCCAGCCCACATCCCTGTCTGCCACAGCCCTGGCTAGCATCTGCACCTCCAGAGCTCAAGCGGCGTGAGTCCACCTGGCAAGGGGCAGGTTCTTGCTTGACTTCCCCGGGCAAGATGGATGGCTCTGAGCTGGGCCTGGCCTCCGGTGGCTCAGAGGAACTGGGCTCCCTTCCCTCTGGGCCCTCTGACCCGTCTGCAGAGCAAGGACACTGGGGGCGGCCACCAATGAGTCCGACTTTTCTGGCCAGCTCAGCTCAGAGGCACATGTCAGCCGCTCACAGGAAACCTCCTCACAGGGCCTGCTGCCCAGGGCAGAGGGAGGAACTGGGAGGAGGAGGTGCCAGAGAGAGGAGCTCCATTTAACGCCCCAGACAATCCCCTCTCTGTGAAGCAGAGGGCACACACTGGTGGTTCACAAAAAGGAGACAAACCTGCCTTCAGAGACTGAAAGGCTCGAGACCAGCTCAGCTGTCGGGAGGGCGGTGCCTGCCAGTGTCTCCTGCCCCGTGGTCCCCTGCCGGGGCCACAGAGGGGCCGTGCAGCCAGGACTGCTCGTGTCTGGGAGGCAGCAGGTGCGTGGGAAAGGCCGAGTGAGCCGGGGCCCTGCTCACGTCCCACCTCCCTTCCCCTTCCTCTGACCTTTCTGCAGCCCCTGACACGGGGAGGCGGGGCTTAAACCCCTGCTGTGTGCTTTGTGTTTCCCACAGCAACCTCTGAGGTGGCGGATCCATTTCCTGGCTCTGCCTTTTCCTCCCATACTGGGTGGCTTGAAACAACAGACTTACTCTCTCGCCACACGAAGGCCTGAAGCCAGAAATCATGGGGTGGTAGGACCCTGCTCCCACTGAAGGTTCCAGGGGAGCAGGCTTCCCAGGCTCTTCCCGCTTCTGGTGGCTGTGAGCACGCCCCCGTGTGTCCCTGCGTCTGGGGCTCACCCGACTCATCCTGGATAATCTCGGCTTGAGACTCTTCACTTAGGCAGGCACCTCTCCATAGAGCCCTTTTCTAAATAAGATCACATCCGTAGGTCTCAGTGGTTCAGCATGGCCCTTTTTGGGGGCACAATTTGAGCCCTGCAGGAAGTGTTACTACTATCCTCAAGCCATCAAGGGGGGTGGAAGTGGTCACCGGAGACAGCTGTCTCCAGTTAGTTACTTGGTGGCTGAGCAAGGGTACAGAGTAGTTCTTGGGACGTGTGGTCCACGGTCATCCCACTCTGTCCACTGCCTCCCCTGTGACCTCAGGTAGGCCATGAGCTTACACGTCCTCCTCTGTTGCCTTTGGGGGATGCGGATGATGAATGATGGAGAAATGACCCAGTCCCATATAAGCACCTGATCATGCGAAACCAGCATAGGGTGGTTTGGTCCGACGATAAACCTCACAGCACCGAGGAGAAACTGGGTTTTAGAGTGGAGGTGACTTGATCGAGGCCACACAGCCAGTGTCACAGCAGGGCCTCCCCCCACACCCACCAAATGTCCAGGCTGTGCCCTCAAGCGCCGCCCAGGGCTGCCTCTCATGCTGCTTCCCAGCCTTCTGGGGGCCTCACGGAGACCGTGTCCCTGAAAGGGCTTCGTGGTCTCTGAGGTGTCACAGGAATTCGACGCTGCCAGTGGCTCCCTGGCTGTTACTGTCGCCTGCCTGGTGTCCACAACCAGGGAGAGGCTAAGCCAGATGTGGGCAGGCACGACTCCAGGCTGCCTGGTGTCCAGGGAGCGTCGCTTGCCTACAGCCCAGCTGCCCCTGGCCTGCCCCGGCACCTGGCCCGCTGTGAGTCTCCAGGGCCTGATGGGAATCGCGAGTCCTGGGGGAAGGGCCTCAAGCAGCAGGGCTCCCGGGCTGTGCTCACCGCCCCCTCTGCCGTGTCCCCTCCCGGCCCAGGCATCGTGCGAGCCTCCAGCGTCTTCCCCATCCTCAGCACCATCTTGCTGCTCCTCGGAGGACTCTGCATCGGCGCCGGCCGGATCTACAGCCGCAAGAACAACATCGTGCTCAGTGCTGGCATCCTCTTTGTGGCCGCAGGTGAGTTGCCCACCCAGGCCACCCAGCTGGTGTGTGTGGGGGTGCTGGGGATGGGGCGGGGCCTGCTGCTGTGTGGCCTCCATGGCCAGGGAGCGTGTGAGAAGTGCATGTGCTCAGGGCTGGGGATGGATGGGCAAGGGGACGCAGCTCCTCTGGACTTCCTTTGGGGTGACGGGTATGTTTTGGAACTAGACGCGGTGCTTGAGCAATCTTGTGACTGCACTAAGTGCCCTGGAGTGTGTGCTTCAAAAGCATTAATTTTTTGCTGCGTGAATTTCACCTCAAGCAAAAAAGGAAAAGTGCAAAGCTCTGCAAAGGAGAGGGTGCTAGGTGCTCCACAACCCTGTGGCGGGGTGCCTGGTCGGGCCAGGGGTCGGGTGAGGCCCAGGGAATCACATCAAACCAGTACTGGAAAGAGGTTGCCAGGTGAAGACAGGGCGAAGACCCAGAAATGGCTCACGTGACTGCCCAGACACAGGTGCAGGGGGGCCCCGCGAGGAGAGACAGGAGCTGCTGACTTATCGGGCCTTGATTCGGAAACCAAGCCCAAGAAATGTGGCCAAGCTCATTAGCCTTCCCTTAATTCTCCACGCAGCTCTTGGTGCTGCCTGTTTTCGCTTTCAAAGCGTCTTTCTGTCTGACACCAGACTCTGCAGCCCAGGTGCACACCTTGGTGCCAGGTCTCTGCGTTCTAAAAGGTCCAGTTGTGCCTGTGGGGGCGAGGAAGGCCAGGCCCGTCGTGGGGATGCCCACCCTCCCTTGCCGAGGACCGGCAGGCCTGGCACGGGGACGCCTCACATGGTCCTCACAGAATGCTCTTCCCCATCGCGTGCTCTCTTGCGTTGTCCTGGAGAGGACGGGGTTTCTGCTCCTGGGACTGAGGGCCAGCACCACCGGGAGACTGGCTCCGGCGGGACCCTGACTCTTCGGCACTTTCTTCCATACAATCTCGGAGTTTGTCTTCTTCTCGTGCAATAAACAGACGTGTGTGCAGGGTGTATGTTTCTCCTTGTGTATCTGTGGGGAGTATTGTTGTAAGTGGAAGTGTGTGTGTGAGGACTGGTTGTGTGAGTGTGTGGTGTGAGTGTGTGGTGTGTGTGATTGAGGACTGTGAGTTTGTGTGTGTGGTGTATGTGTGTGTCTGAGGAGTGTGAGGGGTGTGTGTGTGTGAAAACTGTAGGTGTGTGCATGTATATGTAGCATGCGTGTCTGAGGAGTGTGGTGGTATGTGTATGTTCGAGGACTTTGGTGGTGTGTGTATGTGTGGTGTATGTGTGTGTCTGAGGCATGAGATGGGGTATACGCATGTTTGAGAACTGTAGTTGTGTGTATATGGTGGTGTGTGTGTGTGTTTGAGGACTGTGGTGGTGTGTGTGTTTATGTGGTATATGTGTGTGTGTCTGAGTTGTGTGGTAGGGAGTGTGTATATGACTCAAGGACTGTGGTGGTGGTGGTGTGTGTGTGTGAGGTGTGTATGTGTGTGTGTCTGAGGAGTCGGGGGTGTGTGTGCGTGTGTTTGAGAATGGCAGTTGTGTGTATGTGCATGGAGGGGTGTGCGTGTGTTTGAGGACTGTGGTGGTGTGTGTGTATGTGTGCATGCCTGAGTGTGGGGGGTTGTGTGCATGGCTTGAGGACTGTGTGTGTGTGCCTGTGGGGAAGGAGCGCCCAGGAGAGAGGGTTCTCCGAGGAGGAAGCGTGTCTGCCCCTCCTGGCCAGGTCCCCTGCCCTTCCCTTCCCTTCCTCCCCTGCCTGTCCCTTCTCTTCACCCCAGCCCAGAGCAGGGCAGCGGGTGAGGAAGGGCGTACCCTATTCTCTCCCCCGTCCCCCACTGGGGTCCTTTATGTGGCCAAGGGTTACAAAGTGTGAGCCATTAAGGGGGTCCCTTCCGGGCCCTTTAGAGACTGCCCCTGCGTGTCCTCCAAGGCAGGGGAAGGCTCTCACTACCCTGAGAGCCAGAGGCCAGGCACTCTGGGAGCCCAGCCCTGTCACCCCGGCTTCTGGGGAGGACGCATGTGGGCAGTAGGGCTGTTCAGGTGGCCTCCTGGAAGTCACGCAGTGGGAAGACTCGGCTGTGTCCAGGGCCGTCAGCCTCCGAGCACTTCGTGGTGCCCACAAAGCCCTTTTGCCTCCAGGAGGAGCTATTTCAAAAGCAGATCCAGATGCTCAGGGTCACCAGAGGGGCGGCGGAGCCCGGGGCCAGGAGACACAGCACGAGGAAATGAGTCCAGCCAGAGAGGAGGCAGGTGCTCCTGGCAGCAAGGGAGCCGTTGGGAGGCAAGCAGAGAAATGTTGGCCTATTCTCTGGTGCACAGAGCACTGACGGGGTGGAATGCAGCAGCCCCTGGGAGGGGAGACTGGCCCGTAAAGAATCCAAGATCGAAAATGGAGGTGCCACGGGAGAGGAACTGACTCAAGGCCGGGGACATCAGAAGATGCAGAAACTCTGGAAATGGGATTTGTGGGATTATGGAGTTAGGAGCACTCTTATGACTTGTGCTGCATAGAGGGTGGAGGAGGAGAGACAGACCTAGAGAAATGGGGAGAGAAGGGAAGAGAGAGAGAGGTGGGAAGGGGCAAACTACTCGGGTGAAAAGCCATGTTGGTGAGTTCCAATGGAACCCAGAGGAAGGGACAGGAGTCAAAGCCCAGAACTGATTTGCTCAGGGCAGGTTGCTGGTCCTCTAATAGAAGACACTCCAACGTTTCCACACGGGAATGGGCGCAGGAGAGACAGGGCAGGGAACACAGACGGTGCACAGACAAATACAACCATGTGACGCTACAATAAAATGCCAAGGACATAATAGAACGCAGAGGCAGCCTGTTGCCGGGTGCCACTGTGAGCACTGTCATCCTCGCTGAGTGCTGTGAAGTGGACCGCTACTGTTCTCACTTTCCACATGAGGATTCTGAGGCACAGGGAGTGGGAGTCATTCGCCCAATGTTACACACTAATATTTGGTGGAACTGGAATTCAAACTCTGGCAACTTGGCTTTGCTCAACCTCCCTCAGAATAAGGGAGAATAAACACAACAATGGCTGACTGCTTTTTTATCTCCCAGAGTGGCAAAGATCAGGACATTTCATAACGTTCATTATAGGCTGTTGGGACATTCGTACCTGTGTGGAGGGCATTGGAGTGGTGACCCCACATTTAAAACACCGGATATGACATGGTGTCCTGGGTGGATCCTGAGACAGGAATGGGCATTAGTGGAAACTCAGTGCAATTCATTAAAGTCTGAAGTCTATTTGACAGTAATACACCAGGCTGGTTTCTTCCTTGGGACAAATGTCCAAAGTAACACAGGATGTCAGCATTAAAGGAAACCAGGTAAGGAGTGTGCGGGAACTCTCTGGACTATCTGTGCAACTTTTTGATAAATCAAAAGTTATCTCCAAATAAAAGTGTCTTTCAAGGCCCACAGTTCACTTGCTCCATGCCCCAGCAGCTTGACTCGAGGGGACGCACCCCACAGTTGTACCCATGTGCATGTGCAATGCTGAGGACACAGGATGTCCAAAGCAACCGTGTCATAGCTGAGGGCTCGAAGCCACATGAGCGTCCCAGCAGAGGCTTGGTTGGACAGTTTGTGAGACATCTCGTGGGGGTGCTGCATGCAGTAGGAAGGTGGGGGCAGCCAGGCGGCCCGCTGTGGGGCCGACTCTTAGATGTGCTGTTCAGTGAAAAGCTGAAGGGCTAAGGAGGATTATGCAAAGTCAAAAGTCAGTGCGTGGGTACGTGTATGCGTGTGTGTTAGAGAGAGCGATGCTCTAGAAGGATGTAAGAAAGGATGGCAGGAGCTGCCTTCATGGGAGCTGGGCAGCTGAGAGTCTGTGTTTGATCACATGCCTCCTTTGAGCTTTGTACTGTATGACCCATTTGAAATTACTTATTTGAAAGAGAAATTAGCAACCAGGATAAAGCAGCGCTCATCCAGGAGGGCAGTGGCCTCCTGTCCCCTGCCCTGTCTGTCCGACCGAGGGTCTGACCTCTGCCTCTCTCCCTCCCTGGCCCCTCTCCCTGCTTCCCTTCCAGGCCTCAGCAACATTATAGGCATCATCGTCTACATCTCCAGCAACACGGGCGACCCCAGTGACAAGCGAGACGAAGACAAAAAGAACCATTACAACTACGGCTGGGCTTTTTACTTCGGAGCCTTGTCTTTCATTGTGGCTGAAACCGTGGGCGTCCTGGCCGTGAACATTTACATTGAGAAGAACAAAGAGCTGAGGTTTAAGACCAAACGGGAGTTTCTGAAGGCATCTTCCTCCTCTCCCTACGCCAGGATGCCGAGCTACAGGTACCGGCCACGGTGCTCACGGTCCAGCTCACGGTCCACTGAGGCCTCCCCCTCCAGGGACGCATCCCCGGTGGGCCTGAAGATCACCGGGGCCATCCCCATGGGGGAGCTGTCCATGTACACACTGTCCAGGGAGCCCCTCAAGGTGACCACCGCCGCCAGCTACAGCCCCGACCAGGAGGCTGGCTTCCTGCAGGTACACGACTTCTTCCAGCAGGACCTGAAGGAAGGCTTCCATGTCAGCATGCTGAACCGGCGGACCACCCCCGTGTGAGCTGCCCTCCCTGCTCTCAGCTGTGGCCTCTCCCCAGAAAGGCTCTTTGTGTCACACAGGAGGGCATGTGATTCGTAAGACGACAGATGAACAGTGAACTGAAGCCAAATACAGCCCTCCCTGGTCTCCGAAGGTGTCATGGGCTGACTTTGCGCAAAGGAAGCACCAGGAGCCTGGACTCGGGGGTGCAGAAGAAGCTGAAGCTGATTTTGTCCCCAAAGAGGGTGTTTTGATGCCCCGGGGTTTCCGAAATCTCCCAGAAAGCCCAAGAGCTTTTCTGAGGCTGCATGGCCTTGACCATCTCGGGAAAACAAAATTGAGCCATTATCTCCTCTTGGAAACAAATCTTGCCAGAAGAATGGGATTTCAGAGCCTTCCCTCCCCGCCTGGGCGCTGGGCCACTGGAAGCCTCTGCCAGGCGCAAGGGGGCCTCTGGACTCTCGTCAGCTGCTTCTGAGCCTGAGGTTCCTGTGTCTTTGAGCCAGAAATGAGGACACTGAAGCTCGTTCCCTTCCTCTCCGTCTCTCCCTCTCTCTGGTACTCCGGCAGTGGCCATTGTTGGAAAATAGTCATCCTGAAGGGATATCCCTGTAGCCAGCTGGTGCTTCAGCCTCTGGGCTGTCCTGAGGCCAGTGTCCCTCCACCTGAGGAGACCGAGGCCTGTGGGATGAGTGTGAGGCCGAGGCCGAGGGCCATTGCTGGCTTTCCTCTCTGCCTCTGGAAGTTTCCGCGTCACTCAGAACGGGCCAGACAGACACACTGACGGGACCGGACTAGTCACAGGTCAGAGGAAAGTTGGCCTCGTGGCCTCTTGCTGTGTTGCTCCCCTTGGCCTGAGGGGCAGCTCTGGAGTGCCGAGGAAAGGTGGGGCAGTCCCTCCCTGACTGAACTTTGGCAACAGGAGCCTGAACTTCGGTGCAGGAAAGGGAAATCCAAGGGTTAACGGTGACCAGCAAACAATTAGAGAACAAATGTCCATTCCCTAGGTGGTTACAACTCATGATTCTTGCAGATAATGCCAGGCAAGCAAGTGGCACTCATTTCCTCTTCTTCAAAAGCAGCAGTAACACGTGCCCCAGCTTCTGTCGTGGTGAGTGACTCTGCCGCCGCCTCACAGGACGCAGGGGTGCAGCAGGATTTCTCTTCCCCACAAGAGGAAGGCATAGGCCCTTCGTTCAGAACTGAGGAAGCAGGCTTTGTGTTTTACGGTTTTTCCAGTCATTTTTCCCCTCCTGAAGCAAGCAAAGAGCGTGGCAGTGTGTCCAGGCTTGGAAGAAAAACTCGCTGGAACATGGAACTCACCCTCTTTTATATAAAACGTGCTTTCTAAAGAGAAATCGTTTCTTACTTTTTGAGACGTACTGATCCAATCCTGAACTGTGATCCCAGGAGCTGTCGTACTTCGGAGTGATGAGCAAATTCTTACCTCAGCCACCTGCTCGTGGAGCCGAGGGCAGACGCGGCTCCCTTTGGCCCGGTGACGACGTCTTCATCCATTTCACCCTCGTTTACCCCCAGGAGAGGACGTGTCCACACTTTGCCAACTGCCCCACGTGCCAGTGAGCCGAGAGTGAGGCGTGCCAGGACCCCTTTGTGCCTGCTTAGTCAGATCCTTGGCTCCCGTGGAGGCTGGCTCTGTGTGGCGTGTCCAAGCACACACAGCCATGGAAGCTGAGGCACCGGAGCTTGAGGGTTGCGCCCTCTGGAGGCCATCCGCCCCCCAGAGGCCATCCGCCCCCCCTTCCACCTCTACTGCCATGACACCATCTTGCCAGGCTGAAGGAAGGGGCCTGCCATTTAGCAAGGCCCCGGGACTTTTCTTCTGTTGTTTCCAAAAGCAAGACAGCGTTGCTGTTTTGCTTTGTCTATACACCCTGCCCCCCGCACCCGCTGCCCCGGAAGTTTCTATAATTCCATAGAGGAAGCTGTGTCCAATGAATCCTACCTCTTGCCCAGTCCAGGCAGAGAATGCAGGGCCCACTTTAGGGACCAAGAGGAGTGGAAGGAAGGGGAAGAAGAGCAGGGAACAGAACCACCGTAGATGCTCGGGCCTTCACAGCCTCCTCCCCACTGCCAGCCCGGTCTCTGGGGCCCTGGGCTCGGGTCTGCCCTTCCCGGTCCTCCCGCTGCATCTCAGACCTGGCGCCACCTGGGGATGTGTTGGCCTGTGCTCGCCTTCTCACCCTCATCCCGACCCGCCCCTGCCCGCCCCCGTGTGTTTTGCCACTTCAGCACCTGTGAATCCTGTATCTACTACTGGTTTGGGGTTGTTAGCTATGTCTTTTTTAATTAAATAAAATCATTTTTAAAATGTTCTCTTCTTGATGTGGGGCAGTGTGGGAAGAACCCCCCGCGAGTCTGTGAACATTTAGGGTGGATGATATCCCTGGATCTGCAAGGCACTGTGAAGCCCACAAGAGGGGACTGAGGCGTAGACTGTCTGGTCGAGACCAGCCTTTCTGGTTTTAAGCTGGGTTACTGGCTATAAGCCCGGTACCACCAGCCGGTGTTAGACTTCTTAGGCTCTCCTAGGCATGGGTGTGGGAATCTGGACAGCTGAGCAAGCCGGGCATGTCCTCAAACCTGCAGGTGGAGGCCAGACAGAGCCACAGCTATCAAGGCTCTGAGTTGCCACGAGGAGTTTCAAAGAAGTCCACTAACCGGCCTCTTTTCACCTCCAAATTCTGAAATGATTAAGAAATAGAGGATCCCAAGTACCAAAATGAGAGGTTCAGTGCTGGTAAAGCTAGATGGGAAGATGTGGCTTGGCCAGAGACCAAATGGACATCCTCCTGCTGTCATTGGGCCAAGCCACCCAATCTCAGGCAAGGCAGCCAGCCACCACTGCCCCTGGCAACAGGGAGAAGCAAGGTAGGGGAAGGAGAGAGGGAACAGAGTGTTGTAACCTGGGCAATGACTCGCATTACTGCACAGGTCCCAGCCAACATCTGCTGCAAACCACCACACCCTTGATAGCCCTTGTGGGACATCAATTTTCTCCTCCTTGGAGGTACAAAGAAGGATTACCAGTGCCCTCTTATAGTTCTGCCCACACTGAAGTCCAGGGGACCTTCACATTCAATTACATATTGCCTTTTCTTTCAGGACCGTGACCTTGAGTTTTCTTCCTTACATCCATGGGCTTTGCTGCTCTTCTGGAATGAGGGGGCACCAAGCTCTCGTGATTCCTTCAAGAGAACTTTGCACTCATGAATGCCTTTCCCACCTGGCCACAGCAAAGGGCACTGAACATGGAGCCTGAGGGTCCAGGGTTTCTGCATTCCTGCTGCCCTGGCTTTTAATCTTCATTGCTCCTACCTGAGACACACACTAGGGGAAGTTTATGTTCCCAGATGTGCTGAACTGCCAGGTCCTGGAGCGGGGGGGCCTCTCAGGCCTTTGCCTGGCCCCTGCAACTGATGCCCTGCCAGACTCCAGGATGATTGTTCCACCATCCTGGAGCCAGCGCTGCCTAGCGTTGTCACCTTGAGCCAGAACTTCTGAGTCTCCTATGTATTCTTAGCCCTAAAGAAACTTTGGCTCAGTACAAGATTCCCAGCCATCTCTGGTGGACTCCTGTGCCAGATTGCATTTAGTGACTTGGTACCACCTCCGATAGTCACATGGCCGAGTGTTTAGTTCAGCTAAAAACTCTGCCTCCATGGCTTACAGAGTTAGATCCACAAGAACTGACAAGAAATAGATGCCACTCAGAGCCCCCTCCAGCCCAGCAGGCCCTGCTAAGCCCACGTCTGTATCACTTGGAGTGTGTTTGCTACATAGCCAACCAGCCCCAGAACACAGAGTGGATTAGTACAGCAGAAGTTTACTTCTCACTTGTCGAAAGTCCACTCAGCTCTGCGGGGGCGAGGTGTGCTGCTCCACACAGTCACGCGGGCATTCAGAGGCCCATGCTGGGAGGCTCTGTCCCCTTTGGGAGGGCCTTGTTTGGGTCTTCCTCAGCACTGACACCCAGTGGGCAGATGGAAGAGGGAGAGCCTAGGTAATTGTGCTGGTGGAGGGTCTTGTGGGAGGCTTTCATGGACCAGGATGTGGTGCCCTCACCCTCTGTGCACATGCCATTGGCTAGAACTCAATCGTGGGGTCAGGGAAGGTGGGAAATATAGTCTCTCAGAGGGAAAGGAAAGCCGTTTGGGAAAGGCTGGCCACGCTCAGCCTTCGGGTCTACATCTTTTGGTGGTGCCCTCCTTTGCCTCACACCACCAAATGTTTGGAGTATGTCCACGTACAGTGATAGCCTTGTCTGGGACTGCATCAGCCCCTGCGTGACCTGAGCTCCTCTTTCCGTTCCAACGTGATGTCTAACCTCTCCTCTGCTCCACATGCCCCACCTGTAAAATGGGCCCATACAATTTTCTTCCCAGGTTGAAGGAGCAGGCTTGAGCTCAAGCCCTGACCCTAGCAAGAGCCAGGAGTTATTGACCATCGTGACCAGCAGGAACCTTAGCAATCACCTCATTTGATCTGCTCATGATAGAAGAAGAATAAAGCCCCAAGTGGAAGGGGGAAGATGAAGGAAGAATGAAAAGAAGAAAGTAATCTTTTAATAATTTTTGTGGCAGCTATGAAAGGGACATATCATTAGTCCAGGGATTTTCAAGGGGAGGCAATTTTGTACCTCGAGGAGATGTGTGCCAATGTCTGGAGAGAGATTTGGTCGTCATAACTTAAAAGGGAGGGTGCTGTTGGCACCCACTGGGTGGAGAATACTGCTAAATATTCTGTATCACTTCAAGCAGCCTCTGATCCATTCCCCCAGAGTGGTCTGTTCCAAATGTCAACAATGCTGAGGCTGAGATGACTTGCACTAGCCTGATTCGACAACAAGGAAAACTAAGGCCCAGAAAGGATGAGGTCCCTTGTATAAGATCACGTAGGGATCACATAAGTGTTGGGAACTTGTCTAGACGGTATCAAAAACACACATTTGTGCATTTCCAGTATTTCCTTTCCTTGCAACACACCTAGATTTCTGCTGTGTTCCCTCTTCATTTTTGAACTGACAGTTTGGCAGTGGGACTCACACCAGACAGGAAGCCTGGCCCGGGCTGGCACAGGCACTCGTTGCTGCACGGGGTGCCACTCCTCCCACATCCCCAGGCTGCAGTGAGTAGGGGGAGTGCCAGCAAGGCGGAGACCAAAACCTGGCTCCTCCTCCACTCCCTGGGGGGCAGAGCTGGGCCCATCCTGGCCTCTAAGAGCCCCGTTTCCTCCTTGGTCGAATGCTGAAGGCTGCAGCTCGCAGCCGGGGTGGTTGGGAGAATGAACCAAACCTGAAAC